CTTCCACTTATAAAAAAAAAAACCAAAAACCAGAGAAGCCTAGAATGGTTTGGGTTGGAAGGGATCTTAAAGCTCATTTGATGGGCTTTAAGACACCTTCCACTGTCCCAGGTTGCTCCAAGCCGTGTCCAACCTGGTCTTGGACACTTCCATGGATGCAGAGGCAGCCACAGCTGCTCTGAGCACCTGTGCCAGGACCTCCCCACCCTCACAGGGAGCAATTCCTTCCCAATATCCCATCAAAACCCACCCTCCTTTGGCTTAAAACCATTCCCCCTTGTCCTGTCATTCCCTGCCCTTGTGAGAAGTCCCTGCAGCCTTCTTGTAGCCCCTTTAGGTACTGGAGGGAAAAGGCAGAGAAGCAGTTGTCACTTTGGGGAACACAAAGAGGGACGCTGTGCATTGCCTGTCCCACGACAGAGCCTCGGTGATGCCTCAGCGTGGAACCAAACCCCTCTGCAGGTCCATCCCACCCATCCAGCCCAGCGTGGCTCTGGCACAGCTTCTGCCTGGCACAATCCCTGCTTTCCCTGCAGTGCCCAAGGTGGAGCATCCTCCAGCACCCAGATGCTCTCACTCCACAGCAGAGAGGCAGCAGTCCTGTGCTAAGGCCGAGCTGGCCTGGAAGGGCTCTCCCTGCACCTGCAGGGATGCAGCAGGGACGCAGGGAGGGCAGCACAGCCTTCTGCTGACCAGGCAAGCAGATACTCCAGAGACTCAGAGCACCAGGCTTTGCTGGTTTTTGCCCTTGTCTGCCCTCCTCTGTGGCCCTCAGCTTGGGTGGTCATGTCGGAGATGCCGAGTTCCATCCCCCTGTGCTCACAGCTCCCCTTATCCCCCAACAGGATCAGAAGCTGGGGCACTGCAGTCCCACAGATCCTCTCTGCTGCTCAGGCAGGGTGGCAGCAGCATTTTGAGGCTGCAGCTCCTGCCCTTTCCCTCTGACCCAGCAGCTCTGGCCTCACAGCTGCCGACTTCCCAAAGCCCAGCCTGCAGAACACACGCTCCAGAATCCTGACTCCACGTATTATTTACCTACAAAGCATCCCAGAAATGTTTTGTTTGACCTTTCATCTCTTTAGTGGATGGAAATTACATTCAGGAAGGTTCACAACCTCCCACTGATGGTGCAGGGCTAGGCTTCAACACCAGCTTCATGTGCTGGGACAGCATCTCTGACACCACAGCCCTGCAATTCCAAACATGCTCCTATCAGGGCTGCTTGGTGCTGTTATCACTCAGGGCTCTGCAGTCACCTGCCACACGTCCCTCTGCACTGTCCTGCAGAGCCTGGCTGGCCCTGCTCCTGCTGCCCAGCTCCTGCTCCCATCCCCACAGCTGAGCTTCACCAGGGCGACCAGAGATTCCCAAAATCCCTCAGAGTGGGTGACCAGAGATTCCCAAAATCCCTCAGAGTGGGTGACCAGAAATTCCCAAAATCCCTCAGAGTGGGTGACCAGAGATTCCCAAAATCCCTCAGAGTGGGTGACCAGAGATTCCCAAAATCCCTCAGAGTGGGTGACCAGAGATTCCCAAAATCCCTCGGAGTGGGTGACCAGAGATTCCCGAAATCCCTCAGAGCCCTTCCACAGGGATTTAATGATGGCATTACAGGACACATTACACTGCAGGAGAGTCAATCTTTTCCTTCAGCACAAGCAGAGGAAGATTTAAACAATAACACCATTTCTTTACTGCGCTATCCAAAAAGTCTCCAAGCAGGAAGAAAAATGCCCAAAGGCCCCAGAGAGGTCCCCTGGACACCACACATCCAAATCTCCGAGGCTGTGGGCCTGGAATCTGCCCTGTGGCCCCTTGGCTCACACTTGGCTTTCAGACCTACCTGGAATTCTCACCCGGGACATCGCAGCAGCGTTTGCAGAGCCTCAATAACACCCCAGAGTCCCTGAGCACAAGGGGCCAAGTGACTGCCTGGCAGCCCAACACTAATTTTACTGCTTTCCCTTCCCTGTAATCAGACTCTCCCACTCTAAAAGGAGACTAGAGATCAACTGTGGGACTATTTAAAGTGCAGACATAAACACTTGCACTGAAACAGGTCAAAGCAGGGCTCAAATTTAATTAAATTTTATTTAATTTAATCAATCAAATTTGATTAATGTTTTTCTTTAAGTAAGGTTTACATTTTACATTTTGTGCAGTGTCACCTGGTGTCTGGCCACATTTCTACTTTCCTTCTGCTTTCCAGGCAGCTGCACCTTTCTAATGTGGTCTGGGGAATTCAGTCTTTTAAGAGAGACTAAACCTGATGTCTTCTATGCTGAACCAAAGGTTTAAAGGAAATTCCCAAACAGAACAGGGGCTGTGGATAGGTACAAACCATGTGCTCTCACCTGAGCTGTTCAGAGGTTTTTCCTGAGGGAGGGATGTGTTTGAGGACCTGGATTTTCCCATCAGGACTGCCCAGATGTCCTCACTTCTTCACAGCTGAATCCAACTAATAAAAGGAAGGTGCAAGGAGCCACAGTTTGTGCCTGAGCTTTTCAGGAGCTGCCTTTTCCAAGTTTTGTGTCATAATGCTGATCTGATAATCAGTTCTGTACGTGCTGAGCCACAACCAAGGTGTATCTGAGCAGCTCTCAGTCAAACCCAAGGGGGGTCAGGGAGCTCCTGCCTCAGTTTGGGTCTGGCAGAGCAGATCTCAGGCTGGGAGGCACCTCCTGCCTTCATCTCAAGCAGGTTGTTTCCAGCATGTTGGCTTTGAGGGCTGTACCCTCCTTTAGGGTGTCCTCAAACCTTCTTCAGATCTCACCTGCAGCTGGAAAACACCTCCTGTGTGAAGAGAAAGGCCAGAATTTGTTGTGCCCTGCTGTTGCCAGGATAACTCTGAGCTCCTGATTCAGGTTCCTGGTGGGAAATGGTGACATTGAACAAGTCAGGAGGATAAAATAGATTTGAGGTGAAGCAGAGTCTCTCCTGTTTGTGCTTTAATTTTTGATGGCATTGAAAAGCTGTCCTGGAATAGGACAAAGCATTTGGGGACAGCCTGGCTCTGGTTTAAAGGGTGGCTTTGGTCAGAGCATTGAAGGGAACAGAAAAACCACCTGGAACAGACAGCATTATTTGGAATTATATGTGCATCCAAGGGATTCCTGTGCCATGTTTTGCAGGAGCAGCTATGGAAAGCTTTTGTCCAAGAAGAAAGCTGGAATAGGTGAGAGAGTCACCTGCACAAATAAAATAAAATACAGAGCTGGAAGTAACAAGCCATGGATTTTGTCCTTAGGAGCACAGGAATCCTGTGGCACAGCAGTGAAGTGAGGTGAGCTGGTGCAGTTTCTCCAGCTGAGATAATTTCCACAGTATCCAGAAATTCTCTGGAAGAGATGTTCCCATTATTTGATGGGCACAACTTCAAAACAAGCTGGGTGACAATTGAGAAATTCTCCAGAATTTAGGGAATTTTACCCCCTTCCCTATTATTCCCCAAAAATATAAATTTCCCTCCCTCCAACTGCAGAGGTGCAGCGCCAGGGCAAAGCTGGGATGATGGTATAGCTTTGATCTCCCTCTCATGCTGATAAAATTATCAGGTTCTGAATTCTTCTTGCTCTCACCCATCCCCAAGTTTGAGTCTCCACACCACATTATTGTTTAACTGTTTCATTCAAGGTCTATAAAATCTGTCTCTTCTTGTTTGCTCTCCCACAAGGACTACATCAGCCCTTAACCCTCCTTGGGATCTTGGGATTCACATCTGAAACCAAAAATAACCTTTAGGATACAGAGGTCATCTTCCTCAAGAGAATCTTGATCATGTCTTGAGCCCTCAGCTTTTTTAATCACAGGGTGAGCTTGGGTGGGCTCATGGTGGAAATCTGAGTAAAGCCTGGGCATGCTGTGCTAAAGTTAGATTCAGGGCCTGTGCAAACTCAAGGACTGACACAAACAGCCTGTCTTCCCACGCTTTTTCAGCTGGAAAGTGAGGGATTCACACCCAGAGGCTTTGGAGTGCCTCCAAACCCCCCCACTTTTACCTCTGAGCTGCCCTGGTTCCACCCAGCTCCAGCCAAGAATGGTGGGACCAGAAATTTGGGAGCTTGGGTCCGAGCAGGATCCTCCTCCAGCTTGCCTGGCCTCGCACCCACAGCACGGGGCAGCTGCCACACAGAGGCTGTGGGGCAAACTTTGCCAGGAAATGGTTTCAATTCCTCAGGAGAAGGAGTCTGAGCAGAGAGGGGATAAGGTGGATCCCACCTGGGCCTTTGATGGAGCACTGGGGACACCCTCAGCAGATTCTCCTCTCCCCACCTTGCACAGACCCCACCAGTTCCAGGGCACAGCCAAAACCAGTTCCTCTGCAGGGAGCTCGTGGGTAGGGCCAGGGAACAAACCCATGGCAGGGAAACCTTCCCTGCAAGCCACGACACCCCTGGGTTTTCAGCACCCAGCTCAGGGTGTGAATGCTCTGGGGACAGGCTGGACCTGCTCCTGGGGCCTGTTTTTAATTTCCTGGCACAAAACCCAGGTTGGACTCCAGGTCTCAGATGCCTGACATGAGGTCTGAGGAGAAATACCCTTGGAGCACATTTTCTGACGGTGTGCTCTGACACAATTTGCCTTCTTGCAGGGGGGAAGGCAACAGGGAAGTATTTTAGAAGACTGAATCAAGCCATTTAAAAACCTAACAGAGAATTATTTGGGCACAGCGGTAATCTAATAGCTGTTTTTGCCATTGGAATATCAAGTAAAGAATTGATTTACAATTTTTTTTTAGTATAAATCAGCATGAGGGACACCACTGCAAACGGAGATTCAGCAGCAGCAAGATGCAGATTGGTGAAGTCACTAAAACTGGACTGGACCAAGCCTGTGGCAGTCTCAAGGCCACTCTCACTGCTCACTGATGCTCTGGGGCACATCTGTGATAGAGCTGAGCCTGCCCCAGGACTGAATGGACTAAATCCCAGCCCACAGGCAAAGCACAGGGCACTGTGATAAACCTCCTGTAAGCCTCTCATGGATCCCATGCCCAGAACTCAAACAACCAAAGAATTCAAAGTTTATTCTTTAAAAAAGTTATTTAAGAAGCAAAATAATTTACTTCAATTCAAACCAAAAGAGATGCATTATTGAAAGCAAATAATTAAACAAAGTGACAACAAATTAGCCCTTGGGTTAAAAGTCCAGATCCCAACATTTCCCCACCATCCTGAGGGTTACACACAGGCACACACTCAAGGTTTGGGGTTTTTGAGGAGCACAGTCAGGTCAGAATATGATTCAAACTTCCACTGCTCTCCTTCCCCCACAGGCCTGAGGCTGCTCGAAATCCAATTTGAAGGCTGAGCTGCACTAAAAATTATCTCACCTTAAACATCCTGCTTAAAATCCAAAGTGCCAGCAAGGACAAGGACAGAATCTGAGCAGTTGTTTGAGCAAGAAATTTGTTTGAGTGAGGACACAGAGAAACAACCACAGAATTCCACTGGTTCCACTGAGCTGTGCTCAGCCACAGCAACAGAAACATTTGTTCCAGTCATTGGCACTTGGAAGTTCTGAACAAGAGCTTTACCCTTTTAAAATATTTTAATATTTTTAACATTTTACCTCAAAAGTTGTTCATGTCTGTTCTGCCCATCAGGGCAGTTAAATCACCTTGGCACTAGTGCAGAGTTATGCTGTTCTAAATAACAATATTTGGACCAAATCTACTAAACCACCTTTCCCAGGGACCTGTCTTGTGCAAAACCTTCTGTGCTTATCTTCTAAATAATTTTCCCAAAAGTTCACAGGGTTTTGTCCTTCCAGTTCTTGGCTGCCACCAGACCCAGAGTTCTCTGTGAGACAGCTGGAAACAAATTACAACCATTCAGTTCACACTCCTGACTAGTACAACGCCCTGATTTTGTATTTTTTTGCTGGATTTGGAACTACACTGATGGAGTTGGAAGTGTCACCTCTGCAGGTAATCTCTGCAGCACCCTAAAGACTGAAAAAGTCCTAAAAATCTATTCTAAAGGTTCCAAAGGTGACACAACTGCAGACCTATCCTCACCAGGGCTTTTTCCCTTTTCAGGTTTTATAGAGCCCAAGAGAAAGGGAACAGCAAAGAGCAGCAGATGCATTTTCCAGTCAGTTCCCACCCATTGCTGAGAATTCCCAGCTTTTGGAGCTTCAGCTGGTACATTTTCATGGCAACCAGAGCATGCTGGGGAATGTGGAGCGTAGCTATGATGAACCTCCACCCAAATAATTCTCCAGGTTGACCAGACACCCTTCAAACATCAAATGCCAGAGGCTTCCCATGTCTCACAAATACAGGAAACAATTTCCTGCATTTCCCAAGAAATCAAACCCCATCCATGGGCCTGGGTGACAGAATGTCACCATTCAGTGTCCTCACAACTCCACACTGCCCCTTCCTGCTGGATCTACCTGACCAGGGGTGCACTTTTCTCATTTCCCAGGGGTGTTTTCAGAAAATCCTCCTGGCAAAGCTTTCTCAGCCCTGGCTGTGCAGTGGTGGCAGCTCTGTCAGGTTTAACCTGCAGCATGACATCAGTCGTGGAATGGTTTGGGCTGGAAGGGACCTTAAAGCTCATCCCATGGGCAGGGACACCTTCCACTGTCCCAGGTTGCTCCATCCTGGCCTTGGACACTTTCAGAAGTGGGGCAGCCACAGCTGCTCTGGGCAACATCAAACTCGAGCCAATGGTCCCCACAATTCTGCCCACCATTGTGTGTATGGTGCTGGAAAATAATATTTTATGTTAAATTTTTTGTGGATTTAATTCTTATCAGTCACGTCAGTCAAAGTTAAAATAAATTGAAAAAAGTATTTATAAGGATTATCACAGATAAAGAAAATGTGATGCAGTTTGATCCTCTTCATTTCAAGAAGAGAATTAAGACTGTTAAGTAAGCAACATTAAAAGGAAAAAATTCTTCTCTCTCTGTTTACTGATTTCCAGTGCCCATTTGAAATCGAGCCTTCCAAATGAAGATGTGTGACTGACACCAACAGCCTGAAACTGAGCCTCCTGCACTGCCCTGCTCCTCGGGCCTGGCACTGACCAAATGCTCCCTCTGTTGGCTGAGGGCTCCTTCCTCCTCCTCCTCCTCCTCCTCCTCCTCGCTGGGAGTTCAGCTCTGCAGCCTGAGCAGCCCCAGCAGCACAAGGAGAGGGGAGGACACAGCACCCAGGGCACTGGAGCCTTTGCAGCAGTGACCACACCTGTGCACCAGGGGAGGAGGTTTTGTTCTGGGAGGAACTGGCTCAGCTCTCAGTTCCCTCAGCTGGAGGGAATGGCTCACAGTTTCCTCGCTCAGAATTCCACCAGTCTGTCCCAAACCTTCTGTGGAGCCATCACTGAACTCATTTCCTGCCTCATTTTTTGAGGACCCTGCAATCAGAAGCTGGCTCAGGTGCCTGTGGCAGCTCTCAGCCTTTTCCCCTCCATCACAGAATCCCAGGATGGTTTGGGTTGGAAAGGACCTTAAAGCTCATCCCGTCCCAGCCCTGCCATGCAGGGACACCTCCCACTGTCCCAGGCTGCCCCAAACCTGCCCGACCTGGCCCTGGGCGCTGCCAGGGATGGAGCAGCCACTTTCTGCACCCCTGACAGAGTCAACCCCAACACCCCCACTCCTTCCCTGACAAGGAAATTCCAACTATATTTGACAGTCTAGAGACATCTTGAAGAGACTCTTTACAGTCTGTGGTAAGAAAATAATTCAGAATAAAACAATCTGCAAGTTACAGAGAGAGCTGAATAGCAGCTGTCCAAAGCAACCTCCAGTTACCAGATTAATTAGTGAGAAGCTGCCCAGAAATGCTGGCAGTTCATGTTAAAAACGAACAGCTGACAGGTTTGGTCCAACTTGGAAGAGATCTGAATGCTGCAGGAAAACAATACAGAGTATAAACTGTTCCACCCACAAAGAAAGTAAAACACAGATGCAGTGTGTCCCCTCCCTTGTCCCAGAGTCTCACAAGTGCCTGCTGGACCTTCCAGCCTCCAAATTCCTGCTGGAGGATCCTGGCAGGCCCAGATCACCCACAGCACACTTGCCTGCTTGACATAATGAGCTCCCAAGAAATTCCAGTCCTTGGGGTTTTCCTCAACCCAAGGGACAACTTCAAATCTTCTTAGCAAACAGGCACTTAGTTAGAAAAGGCTTTCCTTTTTATTACAGAAATGGAGGGTCGGGCAGGTGGCACTCCTGGCACTGGAGATGTTGCACTGCTGCTGTTCAGGTGCACAGAGAGCAGACACCCAGCTGGGAGGGGACAGGGGCACTCCTGGTGGCACAACCCCGTGTGACACCAACTGTGCCACTCCTCTGACAGCACTGCACGGAATCCAACAGACAGGGGACACACAGCACTTCTAGCTTTTACTCTAGAGGTAAAGTGTCATCTTTTTCACAGCATTTAGTCTCTATAGTTCACTTTTGTGACTGGTTTTCTTCTGGAACAAACCCAGGTAACAGTGAGAGAAGAATCCCAGCACATCCCGAGGTGCTGCTGCTCCGTGAGCTGAGCAGGGAGGTAGATGCCATGGATGTTCTCTTCAGATGGAGCACGGAGAAGAACCTTGTGCTAATTAACTCTGGTGCCCAGAGTCTGTCCCTGCACCCCAACACTGCAAGGATCAGCAGGAGAGGCAGCACAGGAGATCGAGGCTCGTCCAGCAGCTGCACCTGAACCACGTTTTCTTGGCATCTGGAACAAAAAGGCACCTCCAATTAGCACTAATTAGCTCTGTCCTGTTCTGGGGTGAATGTGCAGTGCAGCAGTGCAAGTCCTGAGCTGGTCTGGCTGCCTTCATGAGCAACATCTTTCAGGGAATGGCTGAAAGGAATTTCCCTCCGTTGGGAACTCAGATTCCATTATTGGCACCATTTTATTTGGTTAATCCTGGAATCAGCATGCTCCAGAGGAACACAGCTCGAGGGCAGCTGTGCAGGAGTCAATCACTCAGATGTGCACAACCCTCTTTCAAGGTGTTTCTTCAGAAATTATAAATTCTCCAAACAGTCCAAATGGCTTCCCAAAAGGAGGAGACAGAAAGGAATGACACAGAAAATCCTACCACTGGAATTGGTGGAAATCATGGAATGTTTTGGGTTGGAAACAACCTTAAAGATCATCTTGTTCCATCCACCCATCAGCCAAAAGGGTGACGTGAATAAAAATTCCTTTTCTTAAGCTCTGTCACCAACTTCGAGGGCAATTTTGCTTTTCTGAGCATTAAAGCGTTGTAGGATCCAATCTCTGGGAACCAATATGTTCTGTAAAAGGGGAAAACCCCACCTGCAGCATTTATAAGCCACACTTAGCTGCTGGAAGTGAAAGAATTCTGCCAGTGGAGAAGGGGGGCTCCAGCTCACCTTCTCACATGACAAGGCAGGACAGTCCCATGCAGCCCTGGTTCCCATCCTCGCTGCTGTTGAGCTTCTTCATCCGGTACTGCCGGATCTCCCTCACCAGGGTGTAAAAAGCATCTTCCACACCCTGAATGCAAACACAAAGTCAGGTATTTTCTTCCCTGAAGCTTTTGAAATCACTGATCTGTCCATCCCAGAACCCCTTAATGGATTTGAAAGGCACAATTCTACAGAAGAGCAGCACCCAACTGATCCCGTGGTTCCTAAGAGGAAAAATCCCACATGGATGTCCCAGCCTGACTCCTCCTGGGGTAACAACCACAAAAATAAACATGGAAAACTGTATCTCAGGGAGGTTCCATGCAGGAAACAAGCTACTCCCTGCCTAATTTTAGAATTCTTACCATTCAGCTCTTCAGGATTTTCTGGCTGCTGCTCAATAATTGCACCTTCCCTGCTCTGTTCTCCTGCTCCAGGGCTGGCTGGCCAGGCCCACGTGGCCAAGGAGGCTTTGGAGAAGCCCATTAGTCCAGTCTGGGGAATTCTGTCTGCAATCATAATCTGCTAATTGGCCTTCATTAACGAGCCAAGAGAGCCCAGCAGGTCTGGGGTGAGCGAGCTCAGCCTCTGACACTCCCCAGGGAGAGCAGCTGAAACTCTGCTGCTCCTCCTGCCAGCACCGAGCGCTGCTGGAATTGGCTGCAATCAAATTTTTAACATCGTTTGAAGAAGTAGAAAGCAGCTGGGCTTCTTTTTCTTCTGTGTGTTCTGTGAGACTTTATAATGAGGTATTTATTTATTATAGTTAAAATGTGTTTTTTATTTAAGACCCAAATATTATTTTTTAGGAATTATTTTGCAAGGATTTGTTTCTTACTGGGAGGTTTATTAAGAGGGGTTTTTGGTGGTTGCATTTGAATGTTTTGATAGTAAAGGTGAATTTTAACTTTTTTTCGGGGCATGTGTTATTTTTTCTTGTTCCATAATTTTCCAGAAAACTACTGTAGGTCTCTTTATCTCTACATTTACTGGTATTATGTTTATTATTTAGAGTATTTTTTCCCTAGTTAGTTTTTAAGTTTTATTTAGTAACTTCAGGGGAGTTGAAATTTTTTTATTCTCTACATTATTTACCAACATGACCCACTTGAAAGGAAGTCAGGGTGAGTCTGAAGTGATTCCTGGCCCAGCCCAGAACTCTTTCAAGCTAAGAGTGAGTGGGGAAATAAAAGCTAAAAATTGTAAAGGGATTGAGAAAATGCCTCTCCTGTAAATAAGGCAAAAGCACATGGGAAAATGTCATTGCTGCATTTCCCAGGAAGAAGCCAGGCCCTGGGGGAGCCCCTCACCTGTCTCGTTTTTGCAGAGGTCTCTATGAAGGGGATTCCGTAGCTTTTTGCCAATTCTTGGGCCTGTTTTGTGTCCACTGTTCTCGTGGGCAGATCACACTTGTTCCCCACCAGCACCATGGGCACGTCATCCGAGTCCTTCACTCTCTTGATCTGTTCTCTTTAGGAAGGCAAATTAAAAAAAAAAAATAGGAAGTATTTTCTAAATATAAAAACTGGTATCATTCAATATTCAAACAACCTTGTGCCACAAAAACATATTAAAGGTGAGCAGGGCCTCGGTCAGCAGGATAGCCAAGCACTTTGTACACTTCATTTTCTGTCCATGGATAACTCCACTCTGGATTTCTCACCCATTTTCTTAGAGATTACATTCTGTAGCTGGAAATGGCATCTGATTCTCAGAATCCCAGAACAGCCGGGGTTGGAAGGGCCCTCTGGAGATCACCTCTGGCAAGGCAAGATCACCTGGAACAGGTGACCACATGCTGGTGGGTTTGGAATATGTCCAAACAGGGAGACTCCACAACTCCCTGGCAGCTGTTCCAGGGCTCTGCCACCCTCATAGAAAGAAGTTTTTTCCCCATGTTGAGGAGTTTTTCCTCATGAAAAAGTAGTTTTTCTTAATGTTAACCTTCTTGTGGTTTAGTTTATGGCCACTGCTCCTTGTCCTGTCCCTGGGCATCATGGAAAAGAGTCTGACACTGTTCTCATGGCACCCCTTGGAGATATTTATATGGATTGATGATATGATTAACACAAAAAACCCACTAAAAACCATCTCAGTCTTAACTGGCTAAAGGTGGTGATGAGGCCCTGGCACAGGGTGCCCAGAGCAGCTGTGGTTGTCCCTGGATCCCTGGAAGTGCCCAAGGACAGGTTGGACAGGGCTTGGAGCAGCCTGGCACAGGTGGAAGGTGTCCCTGCCACGGCAGGGGTGGAACTGGATGAGATCTAAAGTCTCTTCCAACCCATCCCTGTTATGATTCTATGCACTGGCACAAACAATGACAAAACTTCCTGCAAGAAGTGGGAGATTTAATATTTGTCTGCTCCTGAGCCTTCAGTGAGGCACTTCAGTGCTTCATTCCCAGTGTCCCGCCCTGTCCCCGCGCTCCCTGCCCGGGGGCAGCCCCAGCGGTACCTGTAGAGGTTGATGTCGGCGAAGGATTTGCTGTTGTTGATGGCGAAGACGCAGAGGAAGCCCTCCCCTGTCCTCATGTACTGGTCCCTCATGGCGCTGTACTCCTCCTGCCCCGCCGTGTCCAGGATGTCCAGCAGGCACGTCTCGCCATCGATCACCACCTGCTTGCGGTACGAGTCCTGCAACACACGGGCACCTGCATGAGCCCTGCGCCGCTCCTGCCACCCCAGGGGCACCGGTGGGAAGTCAAAAAATCATAAAAGCGCAGCAGGAGCTTTGCCAGCTGCTCTGCAGAAGCTGTGGCTGCCCCTGGATCCCTGGAAGTGTCCAAGGCCAGGTTGGACAGGGCTTGGAGCAGCCTGGGATGGTGGAAGGGGTCCTTGCCATGGTAGGGGTGGAACGAGATGAGCTTTTAGGACCCTTCTAACCCAAACCAGTCGGGACTTTGTGATCTCATCTGTCTCTATATAAAACTATAGTATTTTAAATATTACTCAAATTATCACATTTTGAACCATGCCATAACGATCCCATTTTAAATGAGACTCTAAGCCCTCTCACCCTTTGTTACAAAACACAGAGCTCCTGTTGCTTTAAAGAAATTCCTCAACAGAAGAAGATAAAAGACTACCACAGACACCCCCGCGGTGAGCAGAACCTCCGCCCCGCACAGACCCGCGCCGGCCTTTCTGCGTGCCCGTGGCTGCTTTAGGAAGCCCCGAGGCAGAACGGGGAGGGGCCGCTCCCGGAGCCGCGGGCCGGGCCGGGCTGCGGGGAACCGGCGGCGCGTCCGCTCCGCCCCGGTGCGGGCAGGGCCCGGCCCGGCCCGGCGGAGCTCCCCCCGCGCTGCCCGCCCCGGCCCCGCGCACCTCGATGGTGGGGTCGTACTCGTCCACGAAGTGGTTCTGGATGAGCTGGATGGTCAGCGCGCTCTTGCCCACGCCGCCGGCGCCCACCACCACCAGCTTGTACTCGGTCATGGCCCCGCGGCCTCGCCGGGCCCGGCCCGGCCCCGCCGCCGCCGCCGCCGCCCCGCGCCGCTTCCGCCTCCCGCCCGCGCGTCACCGCCCGCGCCGCTTCCGCACACGCGACACGGGCGCGACACGGCGGGACACGGGAGAGACACGGCGGGACACGGGAGAGACACGGCGGGACACGGCGGGATACGGGAGAGACACGGCGGGACACGGGAGGGACACGGCGGGACACGGCGGGATACGGGAGAGACACGGCGGGACACGGGACACGGGAGAGACACGGGACACGGCGGGACATGGGAGAGACACGGCGGGAAACGGGAGAGACACGGCGGGACACGGGACACTGGAAAGACACGGGACACAGCGGGACACAGCGGGACACGGGAGGGACACGGGAAACACACGAGAGAGACACGGGAGGGATACGGGGCACGGCCGGACACGGGACACGGGAGAGACACGGCGGGACACGGGAGAGACACGGCGGGACACGGGAGAGACACGGCGGGACACGGGACAGACACGGGCAGGGCACGGGAGGGACACGGGGCACGGCCGAACACGGGAGGGACACGGAACACGGCGGGACATGGGAGGGACAGCAGAGGGACACAGGCGGGACACGGCGGCACCGAGCCCGAAGCTCGGGGCTGTAAACGGGGAACGGCACCGGGCCCGCACCCCGCAGCTCTCAAAGGGGGTTTTAGAGGGGGCTTTGAAATTGGGAATGACATGGAGCTCTCGGGATTTGAAAAGGGATTCAAGTCCCGCTTTGTGCTTTTTAGGGAGCTGTTAATGAGCAGCTGGAGCGGGGCAGGTCTGGCCAAGGGCCTGCAGTGATAGCCTTGGGTCCCGTTTTGAGACCCCAATGCCAAGAGGAAGAGTCCGGCTCAGAGGCCCTGGGAGGCAGCAGGAACTGGGAAAGGGAATTGCAGCAGTGGGATCCCAGCACCGCCCCTCTGACCCTACTGCACACAAACCCAGCACTGAACAGCACCGAGCTCAAAAACGGGGGTTGGACACGAATTACAGTGATGTAATTTGGAACCAATGAATGCTGCTGTTATAATGTATAAATAGTGTAGGGTTGATGATGGGGCCTTTCAGGGGAACTCCCTGCTTGGTGCAAACTGGAATAAAACACAGAAATCCCTCAGGGTGGTGTGAGAATTGGAGGCACCAGGACAGAGACTGATGGGGACAACACGGGTCTAACACAGCCCCCGCTAAGGAAAGAAGAGGCTGAGCACAGCGAGGCTTTTTTCAAAATCAGTAAAACTTTATTCTATTTCCATTCTTTGCCATTAACAGAAAAAAAATTGGAGAAAGCAATGTTTTGTTTTACAAAGATAATGCATCTCCCAGAGAAGAAAACCCTAAATTGAGAATAGAGGTAACATTAAAAAAAAAAAAAAAAAAAAAAACAAAACCAAAACCAAACAAAAAAAATAACCAAAATTAAAAAAAAAAAAAAAAAAAAAAACAAACCCAAACCAAACCACAGTACTGCCCTCTATTCCAAAAAGTAACTCCTGATCTTTTTGGTTAAAGTAATACTTAGACCAATCTTTCAGTTTTCTTGCTTGATAAAAGTGTGACTGAGGAAATGGAGGGAGGGGGGCAGGGGAGGGGGAAAAAACCAAATCAAAACAAAACAAAAAAAAAAACCAAAACAAAATAAAACAAAAAAATAAACAAAACAAAAAAAAAGCACACAGACATCAACTAGTCACCTTGATGAAAGTATCAATACAGCTATGGAAAGCCTAAGTATTCTTTTACAGTACACTGGGTGCCGGCTGCAAAAAGAACAAAAAAAATGTATCCACTTCAGGCACAACTTCTTTCTTTTTAAATTTAAATCAGTAAAAGAAACTGGGTTTAGAAGCTGCAGTGTTCTAAGCAGCAGCAAATTTGTGCATTGTTTTAAATATATTTAAATTACCACACTGATGGCACACCTCAGCCTTATGAAATTCTGCACTGTCTGTTCCAGAACACTACAAAATCCACCGACCCTGGGAGAGACTTGCACTGAGCTCTAAGGACTGGCTAAAGGAGTCAAGTTAAATGAATCAGGACAACACTGTAACATTTGGCCATCAACTCAAGGTATCTGAATGTTTGTGGAGATCTGATAGAAACAGAATGTATTCCACCCTCACATGTTCCTCAGAATTTGAGCAGAGTGAGCTGAATGAGTTTTCCCTTCCACTTGGGAAGGAAGATAATGCAACTGAGCACTAAGGCATAATAAACCTTGGCCAAAAACAAGGATAAAGCATAATAATAATTGTAGTGCAGAATTCCACAAGGTCTGCCCGAGCAGAGCTGTCTATGTTTACTCACAGAGGCAATGGAGATTGCAGTTACCAGTTGCGTTAAATGCACCATTCAAAACAAGCTTCTAAAATGTGATACTATAAGGCGCCACCTTAAAGTTCTCCAGAATGCAACTGTGCAGAAATTTAAAATGGTTTCGTAAATTTAATTTTAAACATAACATGAGAAGGTGTTAAAACTGGTGGAATAGCTTCTGAGAATTTGGAGGAAGGGGTGAACAGGGAGATATTCAGTACCCTTCGCCAGCCCCACCGCACGGCCCAACATCGCCGTGGGGTTGGGATCAGTCTATAACACCAGCCTGGCGGATCTTTCTCTCTGCACCAAATCCCTGCAAGGAAAACAGAACACACTTTTAGCACTGGCATCACACAATCATGAAATCATTTAGGCTGGAAAAGGGCTTTAAAAATCAATTCCAAACGTGAACCTGGCACTGCCACTGGGCTTTGGGGCAGAGCCTGGTCTGTTCCACCCAAGCAGCTCCCTTCTAATTAGTCATGTTTGTCTTCAGAAACAGAGACAGCAACAAAACAGGTTCTGTGGGGTGTTCTTTGTAGTCCAAAACACAACAGAGATTCCAAACACTTTTCTCCTGCTTATCAAGAAGTGCCAGAACATTGTGTGAAAGCCACATCTAGGTGAATGGACTTCACTTGCTCTCTCTAAGGTTTATAAATGAAGAGCAAACTAAGACAAACCATGAGAGAAAGGCTCCAACACAGGTAGCAAGTGGGTTGCTTCTCTCTCTGGAAGCACAGCACACAGCACCGTGCATGAACACAATCCACCCTCACACAGCAGAGCTCACCACAGAACAGCAGCAGACACAGCTCAGGCCCCTGACAGGCAGCAGGGCTGTGTTCCCCTGCCAGGCAGTCCCTGCAGGGCTGCAGCCCCGTGTGTGTGTACCTTTGAGTTGTCAGGGCCCCGGGGCTGGCGGAGCACCGTGAGCCGCGGGGCGTTGGCATCGTCCAGGTTGATGCTCTTTAAACGGTTCACGAGTCTATCGGGACGCGGAGCAGCCACGGCCTTGGCGCCTTCGCTGCAAGAGAGCACACACAGGGCAGGGTCACCCCGAGCTGGGCAAGGCACCCCAGGCTTCCCCAAGCCTTCAGCACAGTCATTTATTGCAGGTACAGGCTGCAGGACTGATGCTGTGTGACAGCAGACCTGGCTGACGGGCTGGCCCTGCCCCAAACCTTGCTGTCCACACTGGACTCTGCACTAGCAGGAGCTCAGTGATCTCCAGAGGGTGTTCTTTAGGGAGCAGAGGTCTTGTATTTACTCTCATGAACACCTAACCAGTATTTCCTACATTTCTGTTGCCCAGAGAAGCTGTGGCTGCGCCATCCCTGAAAACCTCCAAGGCCAGGCTGGATGGGGCTTGGAACAACCTGGGATAGTGGCAGGTGTCCCTACCCACGGCAGGGATGGAATGAGATGGTTTTTAGGTTCCCTTCCAACCCAACCCATTCTGTGATTCAACTGCAATAATAAAGGCTTTCAAGTTGCCGGCATATCATTAGAGCATTAACATCTCTGAAGATGATGGGAACACAGAATTTTGAGACAAAAACATTAGCTTCCTGTTACTGTTGAAGTGCTATCTCAAGCTTAAATAAAATACAAATTATGCAGTTTTATTCAAGTGTGTATATAGTAAAAAAAACCCCAAACCCACCACTTGTAAGAAATGCCATGCCAAAAAGAAGAGTCTCTAAAACATAAGTTTTCTATTTAAAAATTAAAGCTGCTCTTCAAGAAAGAGACAGCAGCACTGCGGGGGAAAGCCATCAGTTTCCTTATCATTAACTTCCACTTGCAAGCCTGTATATCCAAATTCCTGCTACAGGGGGAGTTTAAGAATAGGTTAAAGAGAGAACAAGCCATCTGTAATTAGGAAGAGCTGTGAGTGCTGCTGCTGCCTGCACTGGATCCCCGGGGAGAGCTGGGAGCTCTCAGGTGTGGCTCTCCCTGGAGCCAGCTGGAACCCAGAGCTCCTGCTGCAGGAACATCCAGCTCAGGCAGACCCAGCCTGCAGGGCTCTGCTGGGCTGCAGACACTGTGCCAGGGTCACTCCCTTCCATCCCAAAGCCTCACCAGACACGCCACACGTTACAGGCACTGCATTTTCCTGTGCGCTGGTTCAGGATTACGGAGAACTCCACTTCATCCCCAGCCTGGAGCTCCACACCATCCTGCACTTCTTTGACATGGAAGAAGAGCTTTTTGCTGTCACCAACTTCATAGTTAATGAAACCAAACTGAAAAGCAATACATCAGAAGGTTATTGATTTGCTCTGCATCCAGACAAATGCAGTAACTTACTCATCACTGTAGTTTAACTACTTTTAAATAAAACTTCAAAACTGTGGCGCCAAATAGAAGTGGAAATGCAATTTCTGCAGTGGTCAGAACATTTTGTCTGGAAACAACACTTCTGGAAATCCAGACAATCTTCCTGGCACTGTAAAGTCACATTTAAATCCTAAAGTCTATAGAACAAGTTCTGAAAACTGCCCCCAAGTGCTGGCAGCTGTATTAAACAGACAAGAGTTGTGCCCCAAGCTCTGAAACACCACCCTGAAGTTACATAACAGCAATCACTCAGTTTTTGGCCTGTCACTGGGATAAGAAGCCATTTACTTTTATTTTCCATTCTACTCATGTATAAGCCAGGAATAGTGATCCAGCCTCTCCATAAATGACTGG